TTGAATCAGTAAACATCCTAACATGTGGCCTCATTACACTGCAATCAGTACATACATAAATTGCTTAAGTAGTTTGAATGTGTTTGATATTCTGATACAAGATGACCCAAATTAATCCTAGTTAGTTTATATGGGGATATATAGTATTTTAATGTCAACAGGACACATAAAACAGAATCAGTTAGGCGTTTTTCTCAAGTCCTCCACTAAGGCTTACCTGCTTCTCATCATCTTTCTACTTTGCAATAGAACTATTCTTGCAAAGTTACCATCTCTCTTGAAGTTCTGTAATTAATGTTTCTTTCTGTTAAGTGGGCTGTGTCATTGTGTATAATTGATGGTTTATTTAAGTCTTTAGAGTCACCAATAACAAAAGCTTCTTTCTCACTAATGTCATGTCAGAGCCTTGGACTCAGCAACTTCCTAGTCAATGTTTTTGAACCATTTCTGTGTCAAGGCTGTGAGGAAGTTATGTACTTTATCCTTTGGAAATACTCTCTGTGTATGGGTTCTGACTCTTACTAGTGTGACTTTTTATTGGTGTCCATCTGTCTTTCATTTCCTTCTTCAGTCTAGCTACTCTTTTTTTTTACCTGTTTGTGTTCCTTCATTTTTGAATATTCATATATTACTATACTCAATATATGATATACTGGTGAGTATGATATATCATAGATACTGCATACTCTAATATTTTGCTGATTAAAGTGATCCTTTGTATATTTCTTGCTCTTAAAGGCTCTGCTCATTCTATTTATCCATTGTTCTATCTGTCCTTCCAAGCCCTTATCCTGATTTTGATATTAACATCACTGGGTTTTGTTCTCATAATCCAAGGCAATATTCATGCTCCGTTCATTATGTTGTCTAGTTAATTTGGAGATATTCAGCACGCTACCACTTCATGGTATAATCAGTTAAGAAATTTTTTAGTAATTTGAGTGTGATTTTTATTACAATGATGAGTATTGAGAGGCATCATCACTTGCTTGTTTACCCATCAGTAAGACGTAATTGCTTTAGACTAGATTTTCAGGCTTTGTTTTATTGCTGAAATGTTCAAGATGGTCACGAATATCCCATAAACAGGCTTTTATTGTTGAATGATATAAATGACTATCAGTAGTGATTTTGTAGCATCACTTCAATGGCTATGTTCTTTTGTTTCAAATTATATCTAGCCTAATTTATTCTGAATGGCTCAGCAGGGATGCCACTCGAAGATGATATAGAGAGTTGTAATCTGGCATGTTATAACCAAGTTGAGCTTAATTATTAGACAGTTTACATTCTAAGCTCACTTGCACTGTGCATTTAGAAGCTTCAGTTTGATATAAATATTAAATGCAGATTGAAGAAAGGAGTCAGCAAGAAAGTGTAGTCCAGTTAAAGGTCCATTACAAACTGCAGAATTTGTTATGAAGTCCTGGTCTACATAAAGTGTTTTTTCATTAGCATGTCCTTAAAACATAAAGAGGGCCCATCATCCATCACTGGTGGGGTGTAAAGTGGGACCACTACTGTGGTGAAGTCCAGTGGTTCTTCAGTAAGTTAAATATAGAATTACCATGTGATCCAGTGCTTCTAATCTTCTGTATACTCAGCATTGAAAATGGACATTTTCAAGGAAGCATCAGTCATACTAGCCAAAAGATTCAAACAACTGAAGTGTCACCCCCAGCAAATGATTTTTAAAGTGTATCCATACAGTGTAACACGTGGCAATAAAAATAAAACACTTGACGAGCTACAGTATGAACCTTGAAACTCTTATGCTGGCCTAAAGAAGGAAGATGGGAAATAACAGGCAGATCCATGGAGGGGCAGGGCTGATGAGTTGATGCTTTAGACCTATAGGCTAATGGTTGTGCATTGTGGGTATTTTAAATACTAACAAATCTTACATTCTTAAATTATCAAAATGCAAGAGCTGCAGGAAGAGTTCAGTCAGTAAAACACTTGCCACACAGACATAAGAACACAAGATCTTGATTTACACTTCTTTTTTTTAGAGTGCCCTTCAGTGTTATAGACCTGTCTGCCCCTCCATCCTTTAAGACTTTGGGTCTTCCAAGAAAATTTCCTAACCCATCCAGGCTCAGATAAAGATCATAGCTTTGGTGGGCCTCAGTACCCTCATGTCCCTCCCAGCATTGGTTTCTTGTTGATTCCTCTATTGGATTGCTGATTTCTTGATGTCAAGGAATGGGTCTGTCTTCTATGACTGAACATGGCAGGTACCCAGCAAAGCAAACTTTAACACTGTCACATGTATTACATGGTTTTCATAATAAATGTGGAATGAGAATATTGAAGGCATAGAGAACTGAACTTACACCAAATAAGAGCTGACAAGCTAAGACTGATTTAAGAGAAAGTTTTCATGGGAGACATGACATCTGAGTGGGCTATGAGTTAGGGCAAATTTTTGAGGAAGTAGACTGTATTCAATAATTACTGAGAATTATACTTGAGATCATATGGATTATCCTTTATGAACATATGTGTTTCCCAGAAGAGTTCTGCTTTTACACTGTTATTCTGTGTTGTAGTTTGTGTTGAGTGTGTGGGTGGAGTGCACAGGTGAGACAGAACTGTGTGGTGGCCAGAGGACAACACCAGGTTTCTTCCCTGAGCCAGGGTGTTTGTTGATGGCTTCTGTAGTACATGCACGATGCTAATGGGCCAGCCAGCATGTGCGAGTCTCCCATCTCTGCCCCCATCTCTCTGTGGGAGCACAGATATCATAGATGCTTTCTACCATACCCAGCTTTATTGGGGTTCTAGAGATTCAAACTCAGCTCACACTTGTACCCCAAGCCCTTTACCTCCTGAGGGATCTCCCCAGTCACTCCTTTGTGATGTGATTCATATAAAGCAACTATTTCTCTAAACTTTATCTAAAAGTCAAGTTGGTGTTTTTGTAACATAAGCCCAAATAGTAAATACTAGGAAATATTATTATGGCCAGGTTTCAGGGAAGTTATCTGGTTTTAGTAATAATTAGGTCTTAAAATTCTTTTTGCCATTCAGGAATAGCTTCATAAACTCTTCTCTTCAGATTAGCTTTTAGATGATTTGCAGTATTGTTTCATCAGTTAGCAATCTGGTATTTATAACTGGTAGATCCTATTAAGGATATATTAAGAGTTAAATAGAAGGCTATGATCTTACTCCTTCCATTTCTATACTATAAGAAACTAAAATAATCACATCTCTCTTGCACTCAGAATAAAAACAAATACTTCATCATTGACTAATAATAAATACATTTTAAAGAGAAAACACTAAGATACATAATTTTTAAAAACACAAAATTATGTGTCTGTCCCCTTAAATGAAAGTTGTTTTAAATTATGTGAGTGCTGAGTGATTTTGGTTTTCTTCAGATGTACTACAACACAAATATTTTTTTGAGGCTCAGCTTGCTAAGGTCTTGCAGCATCTTCTGTCATACATAGAAATCTTTAAGATTACACACTTGCATGTAGCTAAAGTCACACAGGAAAAAAATGTTCTGTTTCTTTGTGGGTTCTCACCAACAAGTACCACCAAATCATATTTGAAGGAATAATAACTACTAATTGAAAGTTTTTTATTATGTATGGAAATCCTTTGTTTTAAAAGGTAAACCATTTAAAAGGTCACCTATATTAACCCTTCTCCTAGGCTAACCTCAAGCAAATAATGATAACTCCTGAGTTTCAGGTTAGTGCCTGTTGTTTTTTTTATTTCTGAGCTTTTAGAAGTAAACATTTCTGCCCCAAATGATGTGACAGACTTTGATGATACCCTGTGGGAGGCCTCACCCTCCCTGGGGAGTGGATGGGTATTAAGATGGGGGTAGGTGGAGGAAGGGAGGGAGAGGGAACTGGGATTGGTATGTAAAAGAAATTTGGGTTTAATTTAAATAATTTTTATATAAAAAAGAAGTAACATTTAAACCATAGCTTAGAGCAAACTATAGCCCAGACAGGTTGCTTTATTTTTGTAGGGTATCATTAGGCCACAGTCCCACCTATCCGTTTGTGCATTATCTGTGGTTAATTTTGCAATATGAAGGTTGTAAAGAGGTCTTCACAGCATGAGTTTGGCTTATGGCAAGAAGTTGCCATCCAGAAGAAGGTGAGGGAACTCCTAAGAAAAAGGATGGGAGGATAGTGTCTGGGAGCTATGGGTGCATTTGGTGTTGCGGGGAGCATTGCAGCGGTAGAGAGCTCTGTCACAATGTGGGCTCTCATAACCAAAGACTTTATTGGCCAGCAGATGCTGGTCATGCAAAGCCGGCAGGCTAATAATGGCTAAAATGTGCTTGTGGGGATAATTTTTACATTATTAAGTGTGTAAAACATTTGAATTCGGCATTAGTCTCAACCTGCACTGATGAATGAAACCACCTAGGAACTAACAACACATGGCAACCATATAATGACCAAGGAGGATGACCTGGAGTGATGCTTTTCTGTACCTTGGTTTAGGAGTTCAGATTTCACTGGTGAATGCATTTGTCAAAACTTAGTGTATATGCACTGAAAACTTGGTCTTGTGCATTTCATTGCTGTGTAATTTTTCTTTTTAATTATGAGACAACACCTAACTAAATATCAGGCTCTGGTTAATGATACACATGTCCCAAAGCAGTTAATGCTAAAAACCCAAAAAGGAAATGAACTAATGAACCCATATAAAGACAGTTAAGATTAGGGATTTGATGAGCCAGTATGATAAATGTTAATGCTAATGACTAAGTCAGATTGTACATGTATTTATTATAAAGGTATTACAACCTTAAGATATTTTCATAATGAGGGTCTAAGAAACTTCTGTGTGCAGAATCAGTGAGACCAGTGATGACATTGAGCCATTGCTTTAAAACAACAACAACAAAAAACCCCTTTGAGTTCCATGTTTCATAAACAAATGTCAGTCGTGCCTATAGAAACCTTTGTCTTGTGGTTGAGCATTTGACTGACTGATTTGTTGCATGTGGTCTGTTTCAGAGACAGTCATTCTGCTAGCATTGACACGTGTGCATTTCTGTCATCATTCATGTGCTCCAGTAGGACTCTGCTGATTGATGGTCCAGTGGAACTTAAAAGAGGCCTGCAGAGGCAGGAGCGGCATCTTTTCCTATTCAATGATCTGTTTGTTGCAGCCAAAATCAAGTAAGTAACTTGTATATACTGTGAGTAATCATTATAAAGTTAAATTTTCTCTAACAAAGATGGCATCCTCCACTCGGTGTTTACTATAAGAATGTCTGGCCTGTATTAAATGGCTAGTATCATTCTTTAAAATCTTATTCGTGTTTGTATGCATGTGAATGTTTTGCCATATGCGTGCAGTGCCCATGGAAGCCAGAAGAGAATATTAGGACCCCTGGAACTGGGGTTATAGATGGTTGTGACCTGGGAATTGAAGCTAGGTCCTCTGAAAGAGCAGCTGGTAGTCTTAACCACTGAGACAGTTCTCCGGTGTCTCTAGCTAGTATCTTGAGTGAGGTGCTTGAACTTTAAGTTGTTTACAAAAGTGTTTGTTCAGGGTCCTGTTTGTGCCGTGACCCCAGGAAACATAGGCGGGGGAAAGGAAGGATGTAACAGGTCTAGGCCCTGTTCCTCTAAAGCCTGCATTCCTATGAGAAGTGATGGGGCAGCTTGCATTGTTTTGTGTATGTGTGTGAGAAGAGTTGCAGATAGGGACCAATACTAGGAACAAAACTTAGATGCACAGTTGAGGTAAAGAATTATTCAAGGATGAAAAGCAACTAGCTATTAAAGACCTTGAGAAGATGAGCTAAATAGTAAACTCCTCCAAAGCATTGCAGTTTAAAACTACCAGCATCTCATATAGTGTGAGTCAGGACTCAGGATTATTTTGGTGGGTGGCTCTGGCTCAAGCCTCCTGACCCTGAAGCTTGACTGGAGGACCAATTTGGGAAGCTATCGGTTCCTCACTGGCTATTGGTTTCATTTCATTTGGTCTCCTCCATAGTGATTCTCATAGCATGGTTCCCTGCTTTCTTCATAGTGAAAACTCTTTCAAAAGTGTTAACACTGTCATTTCTGACCTGTGCTATTGGTCACACAGACCAAGGGTACGGCATGGAAGGGAACTTCACAGGGTACATCAGGAAGCTAAGAGCACTGGGGTACACACTTCAGAAACTTGGAATCACTAGGGAGTTTGGAATTTAATCTCAGTTGAGGAATGCCATAGTATTATTTAAATTCTTAAAAGTATTTACTCATTATAAACAATGGTTTGGAGTAAAGGCAAGAGTAGAAACAAAGAGACTTGGTCCCTTTGTGCATCATTCCTTCAAAGTCCTTATTCATAGTATAAATCTCACTGAGCTTTATATTCTCTGTAATAGAGGAATGTGGGGGGCTCCTGTTCAAGTGCTGGATCTTTGAGTTCAGTGCAGCTTTTATTTAGTCAAGTGGTTCTGAAGGGTAGGAAATCCATTTCCCCGAGCATTCTCTTCGTAGTTCTCAATGCCCTGTAACTACTAAAGCTTGTGACCCATTGTGAGCATTAAATCGGTCAATTAGGTCAAAATATATTGTATTGCAGTATCAAGGGTCTAAGGAAGATTAGGAAGGAGTTGCCAGAAAGCAATCACAGCCAGTTTAAGGTAGCTTGCCTCCTAGGTCCCCAGAGCTGAATGCTAATAGTGTTAGCCCTACTCTGTTTTGTGGTGTTGTTTTTAGTTGTTTTGTTTCTAGTTTAGGCTCTGTTTTTAGGTTATAAATTTTCATTGTTTTCAAGAATATACCAGAAAGTGATTGGGGAACAAACACCTAAGAAGTAAAATTTAAGGTAATCTGTGTTTCTAAAGCAACAATCTTAACAACCATTCTATTTGAAAGTGTATTATAAATTTCTCTGATTCCATGCTCATTTTCAGTATCTAAGATGGAAGTACTTTACACTTTATGTGTACCCATTGAAATGATTATGAAAGTAGGCAAGTTACAGATAATAAATTAACTATTATGACAAATTTAAGTTGGGTTTTGATCCAACTGTAGTACTCAACATATATAAAAAGTTACTTTATAGATATTTGTTGCCATTAATGCAAGCATGAGAACTAAGTTTGCCTCGTGTTGCAAAAGTCCTAACTAACCATCCATGTTATATAATCTGGTGTTCCAGGGACAAGAGATAGGGACAATAAGAGATTCTTTGCCCTCTCATAACAAATACAGAACCTGCTATAAAATTCAAGAAACAAAATAACAAGAGCACCCATTTTGGTTTCTATCTCTCTAGATATAACAACAATTTTAAGATAAAAAATAAAATAAAGTTGACTGACATGTGGACAGCAAGCTGTGTGGACGAAGTGGGAGAAGGCAACACGAACGCTCTGAAGTCCTTCGTCCTGGGCTGGCCCACGGTGAACTTTGTGGCCACTTTCAGGTAAGCACCATGGCTTGTCCTTAGGTTTACCTCAGTTAGATACTAGAGCAAAGCGAAAGGTTTTTATCAATTTCGTGCCTAATTGTTAAGGAAAATACTCTGTTTTGACTGTATATCGAGTTGCCTTTGCCAATAACAGTACTCAAATGGCTGACTTTGCATCTGAAGGCTATTTGAATGAAATACATAAAAGTTAGTGATAAGTACTGGGGACCAGAAGAGTAATTCACCTTGGGTTATCTTGTGGCTTTTTTTTAAAGTTCTATGAAAACATTTAGAAGGAAAAGAATTTATGGAATTGTGGAAATAGAACCGTGTGAACCATCTAGGAACCCTCCCATTCTTGATGTCTAGGAAATGTGTTTGAAATACTCCTCCACTGAAACAGTTCATAAATTAGTGCAGTTAAGTTTGCATAAGGGGTAGTTTTGAATGACTTGTTTACTCTCGGGGGTTTTTTTAATTAGTTTTTTGTGACACAGATAATGTGTCAAAGTACTTTTGTATGCTATGTTCTGATTTGCTACCTACAGAGCTGTGGTAGTCATAAGCATATTTGCCATGTTACAAAGTGTAAATTAGTTTCCCAAGCCTCACTCCTAGGCTGGCATGTGTTTACAGAACAGATGAATACAGAGCATTTGTCTTCCAGCCTGAATAGGGTTGTTTGACTCTGACTCGGGGTGAGCTCATGAAAACCCATACCTGTGATTTTGAACAATCGCACAGCAGCTCCAGTATTGATTTCCATTTTAAAGAGCTTAGTGTTCATCACACGTACATGAAGCTTTTCAATCCGCTTCTCTTCCTTTGTTACCACCAGACTACTCGGGCATCATTATGAAGCCAGACTGCTCACTTTTCCAGAAACTGTTCTTCTGTGGATGATGAGTGGGCATGCCATTCCTTTCTGTTGTGCACTGCTGACCTGTATGGGATTTGAAGGACTTGTTTAGCAGAAGCACATTTTTGTGTCACTCTCTGTATTTCTTCCTTTCCATGGCAGATGTCTAATATGCTTGGTAAAAGGAAGCAGTTTCACACAAGGATGACCGTGTATTATGAGAATCCCCACTCTTTTTAAGAGGGGTGAAATGTGGGGCCATTTTCCTTAGGCAAAGCATGGTTCTTTCACCACGTGATGAAGGTTAACATTTGCAGTGATGTCATGTAGGTCTCAGCATAATTTGATAAGAGCAGTTCACTTCTATAATATTCAGCGCCTCCCTCTACCCCCCAAAAAAACCTTCACATCTCTTATTGAATCATAAGCATCTACCAATCTGAGGGAATGTCTATGGACTCCCTACTCATTCTTCCTCAAAAAAGCCAAAGTGAAACACAGAAGTAGGAAAGACTAAGAAATCACTATAGAACTTCCCTCGGGAGACACAGTCCCTAAATGTGATGTGTGGCCCCAAGTTGGCTCCTAGAACAGGAAAAAAAGTCATTTCCAGAAGAATTGATGAAATCTGAAAAAAAAATCAACAGTTTGGTTATTAGTAAACACCATTGTTCCCTGGTTTTGACAGCTGGTCTATGACTATAAGAAAACAACAGTGGAGAAGCTACAACTGGCTGAGAAAATTTAGGAATGTACTGTTTTCTGGAAACAATTTTTTTCCAAACTAATAATTTACTTTTTAAAAAAGATACTTTAGAAGTTCTGCCTCTGGTATAAAAATATTTCAATTTTAACTGCCTGCCTTGTAGAAAACTGCTTGCATTTCAGCAACTACTTGAGGGCTCTGGAGAACAATGAGAGTTGGGCAGAAGGCACCAGCACGTACCAGTGTGCCCAGCACCCCGTTTTTGAAGGCTTTAGCTTGTCATGGTGCCAAGTAACTAAAATTCAGTCTGTCAGCCACGGGTATTGGAATGAAGGGAGACACACACAAAGTAGTTCCCACTTACTGTAGCATTTACAAAAAAAAAAAAACTACCCAAAGGAGCAAAATCCCCTCCTCTGCTATTGGAAAAAAATGGGGTGTAAGGGGACTTTTTATTTCACAATGTGGGTGCTAGAACACTTTTTTCTAAATCAGGATTTTGCATAACTGAATCTAGAAATCTCTTGGAGGAGGTTACACAAAATAAGGGGCTGAGGAGATGACTCCGTCGTGAAGAGCAGTTACTGCTCTCTCAGAGGACCCGAATTCAGTTCCCAGCACCCACATTAGAGCTCACAACTATCTATAACTCTAGTTCCAGGGGATCCAACAGCCTTTTCTAGCCTCTGTGGGTACCCACATACATGTGGCATATATTCACAAAAGCATACACACAGATTTTTAATGAAAAATTTAAGATAGCAAAAATTGTCAACCATGAAAATGTTATGTTCCATGCTAAAATAATGCATAATATACTATCTGATTGCCAACCCTGAAAGAATGCTTCTATGAAGAATTAAGCAATAAAGTTAAAACAAATTACAAATATGTATTAAATATTTTTCTGGAACAATAAAATATTTTCAGTTTATATACATAGACTAGAAGTATGGTTAAAGTTTGTGACTGACAGGTTCATATAAATATATGGATGCATATAAATTGGATGCATTTTTAAATTTAAACATCAAATTCAGCAGCAGCAATAGAAACAAAGATGTTAATTGTGTATACACTCATGGCAGTACTCATTGTATATACACTCATATTAACCAAAAGATTTTAGTAGTCAAAAATAAGTTTGCTTTGAAAAAAATCTACTAAATTACTATTTTGCCTTCCTTATACATATGAGATTAAAAACATGTTTTCTGATAGTAGACTGGTTTCTGGGCCAAAACATTTCCATCTATCTGCCAAATCTTGCTTTGATCTCAATATTAAGCATACTTTCTATTTTTATAAATAACAACTTAAGCTGAAAAAAATCACTTAGAGAGAATAATCCAATTTTACAGGTATGAAGATGGAGGCTTTAGATAAATGGCTTTCCCATGGTGATCTCACTTGCACACCTTTTTGAGACCAAATATTTCATTTCCAACTCAGATATTCTTTCCACCCAACAAGCCTCATGCTCCCTGCCCTGACAGCATTGGTGAAAGAGCAGTGGCATATTAAAACGCATCTGCCTTGGATCCACGTAAGTGGATTTAATAAAGCTATCCTGAGCTATGTGATCTTCCCAGGGGACTGATACACCTTTAGCATCTTCTAAGCGGTTATATGAAGCTCACAGCATACATGTATAGCTATATTTATAGCAGCAGGCTGTTGATGCAGTTACCTGAATTGGCATACTTTAAAATACTGGCATCAATATTTTATTGGTTTATTTCTCTTCCATTTTCTTTGATTACAGCTCTCCAGAACAAAAGGACAAATGGCTCTCTCTCCTTCAGAGGTATTTTTTCAGTGCACATATTTATAATATTATTAACCTGTGGTTAAACCAAACATGTTACTGCAGAGATGTTCCCTGATGATGCCCCTTCTTCTTAATGGAAATTGACATTTACCTGCAAAATGACCCATTGCTTGGGTTGGACACCAGCTAGAACATACTGGAAATAAAATTCTGTCATTACAAGGACTTCTTTCTAGGAAGGGGAACATTGGGGTCACATTAGATTAGATCACATTAGACAGAAATGAATCGCCACTGTCTTCTGTGTAGTCTCAAGCTACCAGTTGGAGCTGGTCATTTCTTCAGAGTGCATTTTAAGTTCCCATAATTACAAGGTTTTATTCAAAACACCTCAAAAATTGGTTGTTATCCCTTCCATTGACTATACCAAATAAAATGGTCCGCATGGGTTTATCAGTTAGAGGCAAAGTTCTTCCCCCCTTTCTTTTCTCTCCCCTCCCCCACCACATGGAATAATCAAGATTTACACTATGCCAGGCAGCTAGCTAAATGAGGAGTGAATTCATTGCACAATAGTAGTATGTAGTAGTATGTAGTCAAGTACTCCCCAGTAAGGTAGAAACCTGTTCAGAGGAGACAGAGGCTGTAAGGACAAACCATCACTCAGAGGTATCTTTACCTGGTCTCACCTTCAACACCACTTGACATGGATGTCCCATGGGGGGGGGCAATGCCTAATGACCGGGGGAAAATTCTTTCAACCTATCATATAATCTGATTTGCTGAATATTTCATGTGTCCTCATCACCCAAACAAAAGAACATATAATATTGACAATATTATTGAAATAGGTTGATTTTTTTAATGAGCAATTAGTAAATCCCATCCGACTCACTGTTGTTCTGGGTTGTTGCATTTGACTAGATACATCACTCTAGAAAAAGAGAAGGACTACCCGAAGAGCATTCCCCTCAAAATCTTCGCCAAGGACATTGGGAATTGTGCCTATGTAAGTATTTCTGAGCCAGAAAATTAAATTCTAGCTCCCTTCATGAGGTACAAAATATTGTGGGTTGAAAAATGAGGCAGGCAGGCTGACAGACAGACAGTGTGTACTACAGAAGGCAGGCATTTGGAGTTACCACAGTAGGGGTGTTTGCTTTTGACTGTGTCTTTATATGCGTGAAAAGCAAATGCTAGAAAGAATGAAGCAAGGGAAATTCATATTGGCTGCAATATTTAACATCTTCCCTTGGCTAGAGAGAGCATTGCTTGTCAGACATCTCATGGATCCTCTCAGGAGCAGCTGCTGAAGCTTGTAGTGAATGACTCCACAGGAGGTGTTTGTTGTTACCTAGTTCTTCCCAACTTGTCACCTCACTTGGGTGTCTTTGAAAACTCAACTCTTTTGAGTTCTTAAGAATTAAATCCCTGAGATTAAAGAATGGATCTGATAGAGGTGACGTTATCTAAGGACCACCATGGTAAGCATCAAGATTTTAGCCTTAGTTATGTATTCTTTGTTAGCTGAAAATGTAACATACAATTCCAAACCATTATCAATTATGAACAATGGGAACTTGTATTCTCAGGGTGTTGTAGACTATAATACTACACAACAACAGGTCTTGGTCACAGTCACTGTGTGTGTGTGGAAGTAGTTCATGAGAGTTTTGTTTTAGTTAAAAAACAAAAAAAAAAAAACAGTTACACAAACATTCTGACCAACCCCTAAAGGCCAGCTCTCACTGCTTGAAGGAAATGCTCAAATTTTTAGGCTAAGAAACTCCAGTAAAACAGAGGGGGAAAGAACACACAAAACCTAGTATGTTTCTGCTTGTTTTGATATGATTGCTTACATTAAAGATTTTTGTGGTTCTGATTTTTATTACATTTACGTATGGAAAATACATGCTTAGAAAACTGAGGCCCCACTCATTTTTGGAGAAAAGATAGGAGATGCAGTTATGAGTAAGTCAAGATAAAGGGACACACTCAAGTTTTTCCTTGTATCAGTGTGGTGTCTCTTGTCAGGGGCACATGCTTCCAGTGTGAACCCCAATAGGAAAGTGTCCATGGAAACTATGCTTTTATTCTTAGCCTTAAGTTATATGTAGTTGTTGATCAATTCTGCTAAACTCAATACAATTTTAGTTTGGTCTGTTTCACATTTCACTAGGCAAGAAGCACTTCATGCTGAAACTCATTTGTTCTGTTCCCCAGAAAGGCTTGTAGGGAGAGACACACTTCTGTAACTACACTGCTGAGTATATATGTGCCCAATGAGAAAAAAATTGCCTTAGACACTAGCTATTTAGAAACATGGACATTTTGCTACAAAAGAATTTTTGACAGAGTCTCTTAAATTGAATGGATGAACTTTCAAACTTGGAGGGGCAGGGTGGGCAGTAGAGCCTCTTCTAAATGCCTGTTTTAGACTAAAACCTGACTTGGACCATTTTTATGCCACTCTGGTAGATGCCAGACATTGGGCCTTCCCAGTCCTCCCTTTTGGCCTGAGACCCTTTGGTATAACCCTTGGGAATAAACACAACTCAGGAAATCTATATACATGCTTTTCAAAAAGCTGGTTCAATTAATAGTCTGCCCTATCAGGTGATTAGCTCATAGCTGAAAACTCTGGAGAAAACAGATAAATATCAGTGGGCCTCACCTGCTTTCTTTCATTTTGTTTGTTGTACCATGTAAGTAAACCTTGTGTCGAGGGGCAGAGCACTAATTTCTAGTTTTTCTAATAGTGGTCGTATGTACTTATGTATGAGGCTGAGTTAATTTTCAGTAGCATCCATTGTGTGTGAGTCTCTTGGAATTCTGTGCAGTCTCCAGATACTGAAGGCTCTAGCTGGTTTCTCTGCTCTTGGTCACAGACTGTGTTTCTGTTAGTGGAGAACTACGGTAGATGGCCCTATCAGTTGACAGAATGGGTTTCCAAGAACCTCCACTTTTTCACAAACTAGTCTATTTTAAGCCATCGAAGGACTGCAGCACTGCAAACCCCAGTAGCTCCAGTTCCGAACACTTAGGGAGTTCTTACTCACAAGCCTTAAATCCTTTCAGTGAGCAGTTCTCATCCTGGCTTCTCCCTAACTGATTTCACACCAAAGATATGAAACCCGCACTATAAAATCAGCACTTGAGAGAACAAGGCTCAGCTCCACCCCATCACTCTCCCCTCTGGGTTACAGGAATGCACTTGTAGAGGCAGAACAGGAATGGCCTGGCTGATGTGTACCTGTGTTTGTGATTGTCTGGGAGTGAGGTTCACATCCTCTCACTCATGGAGCTTTCTGAAGCACATCCTTTAAGAGAAAGGAATGGATTATTCATGGTCATAACATGTCAGAGAGTGAAAGTCATTCACAATGGAGGGCTTGTGCTCCACTGTGTCCATACGTGAGATCAGCATTCAACTTTGGATAATTACCTGACAATGATTTGTTCACCAGTTTTAAACTCTTCATGTATGTCTATTTTTTTCTTTACAGTTTAAAACCATAACAGTAATGAATTCAGACACAGCAAATGAAGTTATCAACATGTCGCTACAAATGTTAGGGATAACTGTAAGTTACTTCTGCTAGATTTTCTTCTTTATAACATGGTCTTGTTGTGTAGCCCAGGTTGGTCTTGAACATGTGATTCCTTTGCCCCTACCACCTAGATACTCTTTTAAACTTTGGTATTCAAAATAATAGTCAATTACATGTAAATATAACCCATTCCATTCCACAATCAATAACCAAGTTACATTTGCCCCTTGCATGTAAAAAACAGGAGAACTTTTATGTTGACATATGGGTGCTGTTCTATTTTAACACCTCTGTGACCTTACAACCATAATAGTTAGACTAGAATCTTAGAATAATACTGTGCACTTTTATTGTATGTCCTACATACAGACACAAAAGTTTGGTAAAGTTTCATTAAAAAGTTGTAACTTCCTTCTCCCTCTCATCACTGTTCAACTATCCATCACCTCCTTGATCTTGTGATACTGGTTTTATTCTAAGACACAATCTCCAGATGATTACCAGTTCCCAAGGGTTTTTTTTTTCTGTCATACAGTTTTTGTGTTGCCTGGATTCAAGTCTTGAGGATGACAGCTGGTTCCTCTTAAGAATTAGTAAATAAAAACACAGCTTTGAATTCTGTCATAGATTTGAAGAACATTACTGAGCTTACCACGTCAGTCTGTCTTGCTTTGAACCTGACCCCTAGTTTTTTGGGGTTAGTTTGTGAATGTTGTTCATGGAAATGATTGGAATACTGAGAATAAGGTCAGGAGAGGAGAACTGGAGAGCTGTTCCCATTCTAGCAGTCCATGGAGAGTTCCTCTATTTACTGTGGAGTATGGAAAGATAAATTAAAAGACCCAGAGACAGATACTGGGGTTCAAGCTTCAAGCAGAAGATCAGAGAAGCAAAGCAGCCAAGACTTTAGATCTTACCTCTACCCAGCTGAAATGGCAATCCTGTTTCCACAAGTCCTCAGAGGCAAAAGGCTCTTAATTCCTGTCTTCCCTGTCTCCTCCTCCCTATATTCCTTTCTCCGCCCAGCCATATCACTCCTGTCTCCACCTCCCTAGTGCTGGGATTAAGGGCATGTGATCCCAAGTGCTGAGATCACCTTTGTGTGAGCTTTTTCCTTTAGGACTGGATCAATTTCCTGTATTCAGTGTGGCCTTGAGCTAACAGAGATCCGTCTACCTCTTCATTCTGAGTCCTGGGACTAAAGGTGTATGCCTGGCTTCTATGGCTAACTAGTATGGCTGCCTTGTTATTTTGATCTCCAGTGGCTTTAATGAATCATAAACACCACAGTGGGACTTCAGTTTTAAACACACTATAATAGAAGCCATCAAGATGGTTCAACAGGTAAAGGTTCTTACTGCCAACCCTGAATACCTGAGTTCCACCCATGACCCACTGATAGGAAGAAAGAACTAACCCCTGAAAGTTATCCTCTTACCTCCACATGTATGCTGGCACACTATTCTAGTGTGTGTGTGCTCACACACGGACATGCACACACACACAGTAAGTGTAATACATTTTAAAAACTATATTGTGACATGATATACTTAAGACATCAGATTACTGCTTGTTTTAGATTTGCTCTTTCTCAGTGCTACTAAGCCCATAATGGCTCAAGGCAGCCAAAATTTGGAATTAAAAAATCTGATTAGTAAGATTTAGTAATGTGGTTAAAATTAATTCAATTTTATATGCACTGGGTAAAGTGGGTATTTTTACCTTGATTTCTAACCTACACAAACATACCTTAGAAGAGAGTGTACAGTTTTAGATTAAGAAGGAAGATTAACTACTTCATAATGAATTCTCTTAGACTTCTCCTTTAAAATCTGATCTGCTCATGTAGAAGGAAGGAAGGATGGAAAGAATTAAGACTATTATATCTATTCTACAATGTACCTTACAATGTTTCTGACATTGCCTAAGATTTGTTTTTACTAAATTGTTCCTCCTCTGTCTAAAGGACAAGATATAGAAGAAATGATCTATTTGTGCATGCTCTTGTGTCCAGGAGCAGTGCATGGTATGTGCAATAGCCAGGATCTTCTATTAGAAGGCCAGGGCCCTAACTTAGTTGCAAGCTAAAGGCAGAACAATTAAATGCTTCCAGCCGACTTGACTATCTCTATTCTAGCTGCATATAAGAATTTTGCCTTGTCCCTCCTGAAGTATTCAACAAAGTTCACAGAATTAGTATTATTTCTTTCAAGTGGAATTTATAGTATTGTTGGATTATAAGTCACTGATAAATGGTTTTATTGTTTTCCATTACTGGGTCTGTTCTCTAGATAGAATTCTTATCTTTTCTGTCCTCAAGACTGGATGGAGTTGCTCAAACTGACATCAATGCAATTAGCTATCCATCTCCAGAAAGCCTCTTGGTCATTCTCCTGCTCAGAGGCCACTGAGCCAAAAACTGGCCTCTGTGACCTGACTTTAGTCTAACAGACAGCCCTGTTTATAGCTTTCTAGGCAAGAAGGTTGTCTTGAGGGGGGCACAGTAGAAGCTAATTCCAGTATTTTCTGAGACCATCCGAGAATCTCAGAAGTCAGGATCAGCCTTTTAGAACCAGAAAGTATATTATTCCTTTGCGAAAGAGCTTGCTTAGGCTTTAACACTCTGTGGACCACTGATAGGAGGGGTCTAATTCCATTGCAATTTGTGAGATCCTAGGTCAGCACAGGGGCTGTGGGCATTGGAGAACCAAGAGTGATAGATCCTGTTTTAAATAGGATATGGCTGTAGGAATAAGCACCACTATCCCCAACCATGTGTCCTTCATGAATCCAAATAACATAAAATGTCCAAACTCTGTCCTCATTCAAGTACCTAACATGAAATACTTGTTTTGATTTTTCTTTATCTCAAGGGCTCTGAGAGAGATTACCAGCTGTGGGTGAATTCTGGCAAAGAAGCCGCACCATACCCACTTATCGGTAAGTGCCTGTCAAAGTCTAAGACAGCATCTGTGTTTCCTTTGGCTCTGCCATCTTAAGCCTAAATGTTGCTATCTCAAGTGTTTCCTATGAGCTAGACAATGGGATCTTTTCTCTCAGGCTGCTGATGATTATAGTATAGTTGGGAAACATATATTTTCCTCTTGCCTTTTTCGCTTTAAGAGCAGATCTTGCCAAGCCTTTTATTTGGGGGTTTCTTTTCCATGAGAGAGCAGTGTGCATTGGAATTCCTCTTGATTTGTTTTTCAGAGTCTTGAGTTGCCTGGTGTCTTTCCTACCCCCTGCTCTAATGACAAGGCTGCCTCTATACACAGAGTACTGTGTATGGTACAGTGGTACATTGTCACCCATCCCTAAGTATCTAACATCTGCCCTTTCCCAGAATTCACTTAACATCACAAAGAAAGTGACATTAACCCATTATCCCATTTTAAATCCTAAAAGTCTTTACTGACTAGTTTAGCAACTAACTAGTGATCCTCTTTACTAGTTCTCGAGCCAAATTTCCATTTGTGTTTAGGATTATTTTGTTTCCTATAAGACAGTGCCTCACTATGTAGTCCAGGCTAGCCTGAAATTCAAAACCCCACCGTTCTGAGGGACTATTGATAAGTAGATTATAACTTAACTTATTTCAGCTATTTATTTGAAATTATTTATTGGTTAGCAATTTCATTCTAACAAGTAGGACAACTAAAATAAGGTCTAGTATCCTAAAACAATAGCCACAACAATTTGTTAGCAATTTTAAAACACTCCCTGCCTATGGGCTACTTACTGTGCAATGTGTGTTGTATACATCATTTTGTGCAGTCCTCTGTCAGTAAGGTGACTCTTGAGTGCTTGAGTATTTCAAGTGGTTTGAGTAATTAAAACCAAACTTTCTATGTAATGTTTGTGTACTCTAATATGCAGGAAATAGGAAGCAGCCATGCCATACTGAGGGTAAACTGATTCCCTGAGATAGGTTTGCTTTTAAATGCTGTCATCTTTGCAAACGTGAATAAGCAACAATGAAATGTTATTTTAAAACAAAGTATTTAAGATAATTTTAGTAAGCTAGAACTAAGTAGATGATTTTCAGGCATGTAGCCACTTAAACTTTGCTGAGTGCTACTACTCTATACTATGTAATAAAAATTTCAGCTAATATGATTTACAAAGCAGTGTGGATTAGCTGATCATCATTTTTATAGATTAGTTTTATAATACTTCTGTTACCGGGGCTGTCTTGCCTTAGTATTTGAAGGTTGCTACAATGTATAAATGTCAGTATCACATTTGCCTTGTATGCCTGTGTCAGGTGCCAAAGAAGGGCCTGCTGTGTTACATTCAGTGGTTATAGGTGAAAATATACTATCTTTACTTGAAAGATCTATATCATGGCAGGAATGAAGGATTATACCACAGCAATGAGTTTACTTGGAATCTAACCAACTAAACTCAGGTTATGGTCAGATGTGCAGGATTTAGGTTTTCCTTAATTTGTTCATACGTTGTTGTATCTGTATTCTGAACCTACTACAGTTCTTTCCCGACTGTTGCCTCTGAACACCAACCTCAAGGAGAAGCAAGTCAGATAAACCAGTCCCAGGGCTGTGAACAACTAATTATGCAACTAACAGAATAAGAAAATACCTCCCACATAGATGGGCTAGATAATAGTCAGGTTGAATCTTTGGGAGAATTTTTGGGGTTTTGATGGTGCTGGTTGTTTTGTTTCGATACATGGCTACCTCGGTAGTTCAGGTCCTGTCTTATACTTACTATGGTACCCAGACTGGCCTCAGACTCAGCGATTCCCCTGTCTTGGCTTCCCAAGTGTTGAATTTCAGACATGAGCCACCACATCTTTGTAGTAAATTTGTGTTCAGAAACACAAACATTGCTGGATTGTAGTGATACCTATTTTCAACCGTAATGTTAACAACTAGTGTTTCCTTGTTTGATCTATATACAATGCTTGTATGATGGCCAAGGTAAATATTGTCCATCATGGATTTAGAATGCAGATCACTAAAGATTTTCAGATTGGCATCAAGGGAGAAAAAAGATACTCTCAAATATTCTTAGATGCAAACTAGAAAAGGCCAACTATGTAATTCATAAACTGATGTCTACAGTCCTTCGAAGGATTCTTTGAAGATTTTCTTCTGTCTCTCACCATTCATCTGCTGTGAGACAGCCACTGTGATTTGTTAGAGCCACCTGCAATATGCAGAGGCCCCAGTTGTAGACTAGGCACATGGATTTTCCCGTGAACAAAAGGACCCTTTATCCCAGATGTCCCAGGTGTAAACCACTGTATGCTCCAGCCTCCCACACTTGCTGGTGGTGCTCAGTCAGTCTCAAGTCTGCATTTGGATTTTCCTCTGTAGGACACGAGTATCCTTATGGAATTAAAATGAGCCATCTCCGAGACACTGCCCTTCTGACACAGGGATCAAAAGACTCCGCCACCCCGTCCCAGCTCCAAGAGCCTTTCCTCATGGAACAGCTGCCCCGAGAGATGCAGTGCCAGTTCATCTTGAAACCCAGCCGCCTGGCAATGGCCCAGCAACTGAGCGGTGAGTTGCTTCCCCTCCTTCACAGAACCTCCTTTCAGCAAAAGCGTGCGCCCCTGAGCACAGATGTAGTGCAAAGGCAGAGACCCAACTTCCACCCAGAGGAACTTGCAAATACAGGTTTCCAAAAGAAAAGACGGGATTTTGAAAGCTGTCTCTACGAACTCGCCAGCCTTTCCCCTTTAACCTTATGCCCACTGCAGTCAAAGGCTCGGGCGATGCTGCAGGTGCTTCAATGGCTTCTTTGTGCTGTAGTACACTCCGCTGTGTGTTCCCCCTAAATGATCACATTGTAAAAGGGAGCCTGTCCGTGATGGGTGTCAGAAGACTGTGATGCCCTGACTGGGATCTTGGTCCTGATAAGTATGTGACGACTAATATGATTTCTACCGGGGTCTCCCCTTAGCCTACTAATCCAACATGAACTCCCTGTGAGCATAGCTGTCTCATTGCCACCCCATAATAAAGGCTGTATTATAGTAACTGTGATATTCAACAGAAGAGCATTATAATTTGCCCTGACCCAAGTTTGCACTAGAGCTCTCAGTCTGTAGCAAGACTGTCTAAAGAAACAAAAGAAAATTGAAACCCAAAAGTATAAGGGTGATAGGAAAGTGATACTGCGCTTCTATGTCTGCCTTTGTCAGCTGGTCCAATGAATAGTGACATTGCCTTCTGCAGATGAACAAACTCAAGGAGAAGGAGATTTACAGAGAAGGCATGGACTTCAAGAGATCAGAGGCCACCCTCCCTCCTATGACAGATTACTGGCATCAGCTGAGTGCCAGATGAAACTCTTCATCTGTGTTCCAGTTCCTGCAGCATTCATTTTACTCCTTTTCTGACCTCACGGCTGAATGACCCTACTTTAAGAAAAAAATGTGTGTTCAGTTATCCAAACTTAGAGGGAAGTGACAAATCAATACTCATTATAAAGGTTTTTCTTGCTTTGCATGTTAATATGCATTGCCAAGGTCTTTTCAATTAGGACCTCCTCTAATGTATTTAAATTCTTTAATTTTTTTTGCTCATAGTAAAACAATTGCAGTCATCAGGTGCAAACCCAGTTTTAATTCCAAGTTCTGTTTTACTGGACTAAAAAGGTGTATAACTGTTCTGTTGGTGCCTTTGGTCATTACATTTTTTCTATCTATAAGCCCATATTTCTCCTTCCCCATGCCTGCTAAATCAACACCATATTCCTCCTTCCCCTTGCCTACTGAGTAATCTCCATATTCATCCTTCCCCTCACCTGCCAAGTCTGCCACTTCCACCATATCCCTGCTTATGTTTGCATGCTTCTGAACCCACACATGACCCGAACTCCACAGTTACGAGATGACCTCAGCTCTTTTGTCCTTCCCATTTAACTACATACCTAGGACAGTCCCATCTCTAGATCACTGCTGAGCACCACTAATAACCAGTCTCAAACAGGCACTCATGCTGGCTGGGCAATCTGAGTCACCTGTTTTATACACAGCTCCACACCCCCGTCAGCATCGCCATTGTCTGCTGATGCCCTGGCCTCCAGTGTATGCCTCACAGCAGCAGATGAGACAGCAAGCATGTCCCAACCTCACCAACATAAGCTGAGCAAACATACTTAAATTCTTATCAGTCATCATTTTCTCTCCTGTAACAGTAAACTCAGTCTGGTATTCTATGGTTATATGGGCACATGGTACTGCTTTACAGATACTGATTTCACCCACTAAAACAAGAAAGCCAGATAACTGTTCTGTATTCTAGCACCTGGAGCATCTGATGTACTCAACGGCCTGGCCAGGTTAATGGGTCCTTTAGTAGCTTAATTTAAAATTGCCATAATAATTTAACTAACCTAAGGAGAACATGCTGATTCTTCTGCCTTCAAACTTGTGGTTTTCAAATGTTTTTCTTTCATTACAGTGATTAATTGCTTATGGTTTTTCATCCACTCTGTTCATTGGCTTGCATTCTCATGTTTTGTCTCTCTTGGAAGATGGTGCTTGCATTTTCTATGCTCAGGATAAACAGGTGAGGGAGAGAGTAGCTAAAACCCGTGCTACCAAGGCACCCGAATGGCCTTCTTCTGCAGTACCAAGAGCAAGTGCAGCATTCACACATTTCTGTTTGTAGGTTTAAAGTGTTGTGCAAGAAGGTTTCCATGAAGAGCTGGCTTAGGAAATCACTGGCTTTTTCTGTAAGGGGCCTGAGAGTATAATGTAAAGGCCATACCAACTTTGCCAATGAAATTCTGAAATTTCACATCTGCGTGTAATCCATTTGACAGAGCATGATGAGAAAATTATTTGCGTGCTATGTGAGAGAAAGTAATTTCCACAGATTACTTATTGATAAAATTCAAAATTTAATCAAGAACAATGTCTATCAATGAGAAGAATTAAATTTTGTGGGGAGAAACATATATATCATTTTGCTTATTTGGGATTTGAAGTTCTTGATCTAATCATAGAAGTTGAATGCAGATGTTCTTATCTATAATGGAATTTTTATATTCCATCTTAAAACATTTCACACAGCTAAGTTTTGCTAAATACTAATGCCATTACAAAAGTATATACTTTGAATTGTGCATATTTCTCTCTTGAATAGCATCTGTAGAATTTTACTAGATTCTTCTTCTCTTGACAGTTGCCTCTTAGCATTTCATTGCAAATTAATCACCTCAGTCATGTAGTTAAATGGATTTTGAAATGTCCTTTGCTCTTGGATCAAGGGTTAGTTTTTTAAAAGGAGGAAGAATAAATGCCGCTGGAATCAGGGTGAGCTTAGGAAGTAACTGCTGCATATTATCTTGATAATGGCTTTTCTGTGATACTTTTATATCTAAGCACTAGTCTGCTTATGGTCTTAGATCAGAGCCAGGTATGCTGGTGTACATCTGTAATCCCAGAACTCTGGATGCTGAGGCAGGAGAATTACAGGTTAAGAACATTACAGAAAAGCATCTAGACATTCTACACATGAGATTGTTGGCCTGTGTGATGACATTCATGCTACCAAACAATTTCTCCCTGGAACGTGGCGTTTTATTGCATACTTCCTTAACTCGGCCGATGGATGAGCTTCCTCAGACTACATGCAGCATTGCAAAGCACAGAGCAGTGGGAACAAAACCACACCTAGTTCCTCAGTCCCAGACCTAGCTGCACTACTGTCTGCACCCATTAATATGAGTTTACCTCGTGAAACAGACCATAACTGTTGCCGTGCTGTCAGTATTCTCACTGCCTCTGTTGCTGTCTTTAATGTGTAACCAACATGCCACTATGGAGACTGTTTTCAGTATTAATGACTTCACTGTAATACAGAAGATAAGAACATATGATTCCATCACATTCCTTCCCACCTTCTGGGGCCCAACTCCTCACTAATGTAAATCAGAATTTAAAAGGAAACTGGAGCATAAAGCAGGATTGGTTCAGGTCCAAGGCAAGCCTGTACTACAGAGTAAGATACCACGTCAAACAAAACAATAGTCGGTCTTCACTCTTTCTCACCCTGGCATCCTGATCTATGCTTTTATAGCATATATTGTCAGTGCATAGAATTGGACCATATGTAACCAGTACACATGATATAACTCATTCTTGAATTGCTTAGTCCTAGGAAGCAGCTATTATTACCATGGTCTCTTATGTATAACATAATTTATTTCTAAGGTTAATGAGGAAATAACAAAGGAAGATAATTTCTTTCTGTAACATTTTATACTTCCTGGATAAAGTAAGCCATAATTAGACACACAAAACTCCTTATCTGCATTTGTGAGAGATGCCTCTGCTAGTTAAGGAAAATACCCCCTTCTTAGGAAACTGAGGTAGGAGTGTTAAGAATTCAAGTCTAGCCTGGACTATATGTATCATGAGATTGTGTTGCCCCTGCCCACCCCAAAGAAAGTGGAAATTGGTTAAGCTAGCCTTAGACACTTGGATAATTATGAAAACTTATAAATTTTGAGTCTACTTATATTGAGTTCATATTATATAAGAACCTTTTTAAAATCTACTCTCAAAGCAGTAAAAAAACAAAAAAAACTAAAGTTAAAACATAATTGAAAATCAAAGATTAAATAGAGGTTTCCCTATAAAACTATATATATATATATATATATATATATATATGTTTATATTAGATCCCTGAAACTTGTCCTAGTCTCCAATGAGCAGCTCTACTGTATTGGAAGTTTCCAGATATAAACATTAAAATTGTCTGAGCTCAAAACCCAAATGTCAATTCTAGCAAACCTTGTCCCTTCAAGCTGGTCATTACTCCTACTTTGCCTCTTTATCTGTACCCTGTATAACACATAAAAGATCACCTGTGTGCTTAGACTGTGAGAACATTCATCCCGAGTCTTTGGTTCAGTGTCAGGAACAAAGAAGAAGTTAAAGATTTAATGGCTTAGTTACACCTAGAATGGAGACACCGGGGTTAGCAGTTTGGGTGGAAAGTAGGGTCTCGTGGGTTTGGTCCCGAAGATCTGTCCATACTCCAGCCCAAACTAAAGAAGTGACACCGCAGGCCCTTTACCACATCTGCTCAGACCCAGGGCTACCCTGATGGTGAACTGAGCTTAGAGAAGATGATAAAAAACAGGACACCTTTGTAGCCTGTCAATCTACTGTCCTACATGTGAATATGCTACTCTGGGGGAAAATACTTAGTTGTATGGCCAGAAGAGAATTAGTTAAAGCTTTTGAGCTATACACTTTAAAGCTGTATGAATTAATGTTTTTAGTATTGAGTTTTTATAGTGTAAACATGAAAAGAATCTAGGAAAGCTTCATTTACATTCAGTTCACTCTATATTTATGTTGCCCTTGTGTTTTTTTAAATGGCAATAAGTATCTTTTGTTATCAGCCTTCATTATTTAGAAAGAAAGAAGTATGCACTAAAAGGGAACCTGAAGATTCACACTGTTATGTACAACAAACAGGATGACTGTCACTGAAAATATTTAGGTACATGACTCTATTTTGACCTTATGCTCTATCTACATTCATAGTACAACTGGGTATGTGATAGAAAATTCTCATGTGTGTGAAAGCTAAAAATCAAACTGATAGTTTTAGAATAGGTAAAAATGTACAAGCAGACAGAAAACTACTCAACATGCATATTAGAGTTCATTCTTCTATAGACATTTGCACAGGTTGGTAGGCAAATTCCTTCCTAGAATGAAGGAAGAACTGGTTTCTTTTTCTGCTTTTCTATGTTTTGTTTTTGTTTGGAACAGAAGTTAGAAAAATCAAAGCAGGAAGAAAGTAATATAGTTGAACAGGGTAATGATATTCTTTTATGTCTGCATATTCCTGAAAGCTGTTAAGCCCATGGAAAATGGATACAAGAGATGTTCTCTGCCAGGAAGAGCCTGGTACCATGGTAGCCTTAACAGAGAGCCCACAATCATGCCCCGGGAAAATTCTTGTTCAAAATTAGCCTAGTATTCCTCTCAATAGGCCTTTGTCAGATAGATAACATCATTTTCTATTGAAGTTAAGGAAATGGGAAAGTCTAAATAGGTATGTGAACCAGCAGTTTGAAGTAAGCTCCTGACTCCATGGTCAATAGCACTTCATACCTCATTGCATTTCCTATTTGCAGTAGCATAAGGAAGATAAGTATGGATGATGGTCCATAGACAGAAAGCTGTTCAGTAAAATGTTCCACAATTTGACTTGTTCATATTAAGTAGATTATTCAGAAAAAAAAGAAGATACAAAGGTTCTTTGAAATTGGATGCTGCTGACCATGTCTTCTTGGATTATCTGCTGTCCATATTTGGTTATTAGCTGGTGTTGTCCAGCCAAACATCATGTATGAATAAGAAATTCCATAAGCAGGAGTTGAGTGACCAGTTCCCCGTGCTCTCCCTGGAGTCAGACAGTGAATGAGTATAAAGGGTCTTCAGATCTGAGTCGTATAGAACCTTCATTGCAAGCTTTTTGGAGCCTGCATCATGAATGCTTGTTTTAGGTATTATCCAGAGATATGAGCATATTTTACCGGTGGCATTTGGGGCTACCACTCTGCTTTTTTTCCTTTCTGATACTCACCTTTACCTGTCATTGGCTATGGCTGCCTCTGTCTTAAATTCCTAGGTCTTTCAGCCAATCCGAACAGATCTGTCTCCAGATGTTTCCAACCCACCCCCCTGGGGCCTGCTGGGTCTCACCGACCTGCATCCATGCTGCCTTAAACACTCTTTTTGAAATTGTGTATTGAAAAAAGATACATTGGAAACTTTGCAGCTACCAAGAAGGGGAACAAACGTAAGACATTAGCTTCCTGTCTTTGTTCCAAGTCCAATGAGACATCTGATCACAAAGCATTCTTTGTTTTTAGAAACAGAATAAAAATGGCTTTTCCCCCATTCCCCCTCTATCTTGTCCTCCCCTTCCCCATCCTGTCATTTTTCTCACTTTTTAATTGCAACCTAATTCACTCCAGCTCTTTTGTATACCTGCCTTGTCTTTATATAATATATAAATATATGTGTTGACATTAAGTACTTTCTGCTTTAAGTTGTTATAGCTCAATGAGAGAGAAGTGGTTTTTGTTTCTTCCAAGTAAAATGTTAGAGGTGGAACCCACAGCCTTGTGCGTGGCAGTTACTCTACCACTGAACTACATCTCCAGCCTAAGAAATGCAACTTCTCTATATTTTAAATTTAGTGTCAATACTCAAGTCAGCAATCCAGTGATCTGCCCCATGAATGGATAGAAGAAGCCAATTCTTTCTTAATTTGCCAAATATTTATAATAGATTTTCATAGCTAACATTGTCAGTAACAAGGGACCCCCCCATGAACACTTCTCTGAGATAGTGTGATGAATAAACTATGAAACAGACTATAGGAATAAGACTGAATGAATCACAAGTTTTCCTTCTGATCTCACTTCTCAGATTCTGGCCAGAAGACATTTAAAAGGAGGCGCTCTATCATCAGCTGGGCTTTCTGGCGGGGTTCCAGCACTCACCTGGACAGCCTGCCCATGTCACCAACATCCCCTATGCCAGGACAGCTCTTTGGCGTTTCTTTACCAGATATTTGTGAGAATGACAATCTGCCAAAACCTATCTTGGTAAGTGTCATTTGGGTCTATAAACTAGTAGGAAAGAAAGTTAGTGAAAGGGAAATGCCACAGGATAATTCTGTCCCCAAAATGGAAAGTTCATAAACACCTCCTGGCTTTAGCTAAGAATCTCTACCCTTACTTCAAAACTTAAAAGTCAGATTTCATCAGTACAGTACAGGGAGATGTACTTAGAAGAGATAATGCAGTCCTCTTGTTTCAAGACAGCAATAGAAACCCACTCAAATAAATGTCGTCAGAAAATGCACAGATCCATTCTCCAGCTCTGTTGTTTGGAAAGCATCATCCTATTGCTTTTTAAGGTTTTATACATGGGTTTGTCTATATCTCATATGTTTAACATCAAGATATATTCTCTGGTATTTAGTTGTTTGTAAATAGAATGGGACAGAAAATAACTGCTTATTTGAATTACCTCCAACTGATAGAGTAAATAGTCACTACTGAATTATCTCCAACTGATAGACAGAATAGTGATTACAATGCAAGATTTATTTCAGTACCCAGTATCCCCCAAGTGGTCTACTCCACTACACTCTAGAATCTCGTTCTTTGTTGTGTATCCAAAAACGCCAGGCACTGTGTCCGATGTTTTATTTTCTTGTTTCTCCTCCACAGTAAAGTTATCATCATCACTTTTACTCTATAAATTCAAAAGTAAACTCAGACCCTAGGCCAGATTGCACTGGAAATCAGGGGCATAACTCGCTTCCTGATCTCATGGGTTGTTTGTCTCCACACACCATTGTCTTCTATATGGGATGCTGAAGACATACAGATAGAAAGCAAAATTGGAGAACACTGAAAACCTATTCTCTGAAACATTTAAGACTATATTCTTATTAACCATAGTCACCAGGCTATACAATAAATCTCATGAGCTCACTTTTTCTTGGACCAGGTTTCATCTCCATGGCCTCTGGTTGTAGCCACTCTGTGTTCTAAAACATCATTTGAATCCTTCTAGCCATCTATCCAACCCCATTCCTTCAGTGCGTACACACCCCAGCCTCTGGCAGCCGCTGAAGGCCAGTACCTGCCCCTGTACTCGTATGCATAAAGCACCAGTCTTGTTCATCTCCTTTGCTTCCTCATAGGACATGCTTTCCTTCCTTAATCAAAAAGGCCCTCTCACAAAAGGCATCTTCAGGCAGTCAGCCAATGTGAAGTCCTGCAGAGAGTTAAAAGAGAAACTGAATTCTGGGATTGAAGTCCACCTTGACTGTGAATCTATCTTTGTGATCGCATCTGTGCTAAAGGTAAGGAAGTTCAGCAACTGTGTACCCTAGACTTAGCTCCCGATGCAGAGCACACTCCATTGTTAACACCATTTCTGTTTGCAGGGAGCCATGAAAGAGATGTAGAATCGATAGAGTGTTTTAAAAAAATTCCACAAAGTCAACATTGGTCTTCGAAGGCTACACCAGTAGTGTGACACACCAGATAGGCTCTCATCTTCTCCTCACAATAGTCAGCTCATTACCACCCCAGGCACAAAAGCAAAGGTCAGTTAAACTGTGTAACATAATCAGAACCCACAGAGGACACTTAAAAACGTGCTGCTTTTCTGAGTTCCTCCCTCTCTTTCCTAATGAAGACGGAGCTTTCAAAACTGAACGTGCAGTAAACCTTTTATAAGTTTCCCATAGTAAAGAGACATTAGCCTTAACTAAAACAGGATGTACTGATACCACCTAAAATCACATCCATTCCTGTAACTCCTCATGCACACTCCCAGGAGAGCAGGGATGGCTGGGTCTTTTGACCTTCGCCACAGTCAGGAAGTTCTAACGTGTTCACCTCTTCATGTTCTTAGACATGTCCTGTCACTTGGAAAAGAAACAAGAACTGAGCCGTGAGCAGAGCTTTTGAGCACAGCGACAATCTCTGCATACCCACCTCAGATTTCCGTTTCCCAAGGAGTCTGGATGCACTTGGCCAGGGGGAGAGAAGGTCCCAGCCTCATCTAAGGTCCTGAAGCTTAGGGAAAAAATATGGTGGGATTGGCTTGTATTGCTCTATCCCAGCTGAGTGGCCAATGACTGATAGAGTCAGCACCATAGCTTGTGAGAGCCCGTGTTGTTTCTTGATGGGCTGGGTCTAAATTTTGCCATGGGCTTTAGCAGAAACAAATGCCACTCTGGAGGAGTGAGCTAAGGCCATCGATCTCTTGTGCAGGTTTTTATCACCCTTCAGTCCCAGGATAATTCAGATACATGCTATGTCAAAAACAAATATGTACCATCAGTTGTTCTTCCATAGAAATGGGTTCTCTCTCTCCTTAACTTAGGCAGGCTCAGCCTGTGTTGTAGGAAAACATTCTACAACGCTGTCTACTTCATGGTACCACACTTCTTAAAATTCTCTGCTAAATTGAGACTATTTCAAAGAGGCATGGCCTTAACTGAGCTGTGCTTCAGCCTGTAGGAATATCTTCTGTGTAAAAGGAGCAAAAGACAATAGTCACCCACGATTGAAGACTGGTGAAATGGGTTCCATATGACTGAATTCTCGTTATTGTGGGTTTTATTCCCATCTATTTCAGCTGGGTTTAGGGAAGAAGATAAAGCTGGAGCCTTTGTTTTCTTTTCTCTGTACCTGCCTTTGCTTAAATTTAAGTTTAGTTCTTCAAACTGTGATTGAACAGAAATTGCTCAGGATAGGATGACTCTGGTCCTTCCTACCTCAAGGAACACTCATCGGACCACACTCTTCCCATGTGAACCAGAAGGCCCTTTTGCTTAGGCTCTAGTTTTGAAGGAGTTTCATTGAACACTGCAAGTCCCTCACTGTAATTCAGAGTCGACTCCCATCCTCCTCAGCTGTGATGTCTGCATCTCATAACACGTTGTTCCAGCTGTGGAGAGTACATAGGCAGACTGCAAGTTATCTCTCAAGCATGGGTTTAAGAGTTAATGATGTTTCTCTTTCAGACCGATCATAAGTGTCTTTTCCACCGAGATTTACAAAGAGATTTCTAATCACCAACCCATTTTGAAATAACAGATTTTAACCCTTCTAAAACTCTACAATTCCACAGTCCAAAATGATCTGGGGGGCAGCTTTTGTGAGGCTGTATTTGAGTGGCAAGTGTCTAAGTGCATTTATACTTGAATAAAAACCAAAGCAGGCAGAAGCAATGAATTTCTTAACCCCAAATGAAAAAAGTAGAAGTGAGGTCGGCAGCATAGCTACAAAGGCTGTAAAATCATCTGGACATCTGGTTACAGCTGATTGGCTCCCCTGGCCCCCTACTAATAATGCATGAGACACATTTGTAACCAATCAGTAACAGCCTTTGCTGTGCTGACTTACACTTTACATTGTCATATGCAAAGCGGGTAAGGATCTGTTCCTGCCCCCAAGGGAACCCACAAGCAGGGAGCAAGAGTCCCACATAATTAGCTATTTCATCCTAATACATTATCAGAGCTTCTGGGATACAGGAGCATCAAGTTGTCTGTTGGCATTTAAAAGCTGCAGAGATAGTGATTACAACTTTAAAATGCCTCATTTCAGACTTCCACCTGTCTCTGTGGTATAGACAGGAACTTGTGAAGATAGCCAGCCTCCTCACTAAACTGAGCTCTCCCTGCCTAATGTTGACTGGGTGGAGATCAGACTGCAAGCTTAACCTTTTAGAGCCATTCCAAAAGAGACACAGACAGGTGGTCCAGAACCGACGCGCTGCAGAGTACACCTCTCTCCACCAGTAGTCTTAGCAGGAAAGGTAATGTAATATGGATATTTACTATACAAGAGGCACACAGTGCTGAGCCTAGCTCCTGGAGCCCAACTATTGGAAGGCTTTCATCCCTCATAAGTACCTTCCTATTGGGGTATAACAATAAGCCACCTTGATGTCATTGTGCACCAACACTGGAATGTAATGTTCTAAGATCAGAGCCACTTGCTTGATTCATGACTATATCCCAGATACATCAAGCTATACATAGAGGGGTGGGATGAATGATTGCCAAATTACAAACCTCACAGATAACTTGGTACATCTCTTTGAACTTGCTATTTTAAAGAAAGGGGAGAAAAGGATTTGAGGTGGCATACTACTATAAACCATCATGTTAGTTTGCTAAAACGTCTACAGGCCAGAAGCTTCCACTGAATAAAGTGCCTTCTATTTTTTCAACAGTAGCTCAGAATTGATCACTCCAGTCTGTCCCTAGAAAAATGTCAACTCACACTCTTCCACATATATAGCTCAGTGGAGACGACAGAGTTGTTTCTTTCAACATGCATTTTGCATGAGAATGTTTTTTTGTTTTTCCCCATCTAGGATTTTCTAAGAAATATACCAGAAAGTATTTTCTCATCAGATCTGTATGATCACTGGGTTTGTGTAATGGATCAAGGAAATGATGAAGAAAAAATTAATATAATTCAAAGGTAATGATTTTGAGTCTGAAAAAATACTTTAAAATACTTGCATGTTGTAAACTTTTCTAGTAAAATAATGGCAGTTATCAGATACACGGGGTCCAAGATTACAGCTATACACTTGCTGCTTCCGTTATCACTACTTTCTCAGATTTTAAAAATTATATTGTGCAGGTGTGTGTGTATGTGTAACTTACAGAAGTCACTTCTCTCCTTCCACTATATGTAGGTCCTAGGGATCAAACTCAAGTCATAAACCTTACCAGCAAGAACCCTGGCCAGCTGAGCCATTTCAATAAGCCCCTAAATTGTTTTTCATTTCCTTATCCTTTCTCAGTGCTGAGGATTGAACCTGGGGCCTTATGCATGCCAGGCAAGCACTCTACCACTGAACAACACCCCCAGCCTTTTCTCCCTAATCTTATGAACATGGGATAATTATATTGTATGCCTCTAGTTATCTGAATCTTGTAGGAGCTGAAATTCATTCATCCATTGGATGCTGGATCTTCATTTAGGGGAATTATCTACCTCACTAGATGACTCTGTATATTCATTTGGTGACTGGAGTCATGCAGAGAAGATGAGCTATTCCCTTCTCTCCAGGAAGCCACAAGTCTGGTAGAATAGATAGGTAAAACAGATGTGTATAGCAGTATAATCATTGCTATAAAAAAGTATTTGTTGAATATGATGAAAGTACCACAGGAAGGCAGTTAACTCCTTGAGAATTATCTTATCAAAGGGGATTTATAGCGTCTCACTCATTTTAAAGAATATAATGTCTGAGACAGATGTGGTGGCTCATACCTGTACTCCCAACACTTAGGAGCCTGAAGCAGGAGCATTACTACCAAGTTGCATGTTAGCCTTGGATACAGTGTGAGAATCAAAAAACAAAAACAAAAAAAGCCTGTAATATCTAAGTGAGATTCCTTGTAGAATCCATTACTTCATGTTCCCAAATATTTCCTGCATTATAAGAGAATAGGTATAAAAGAATTATACATTAGAAAAATGTAATATTCTAGTTTATAAAAAAGCTTGGCTGGCAAATATCACTTGTTGAGTTTTAATGGGAAATTATGACACTTATGCAAATGAGATAAACAAAAGGTTTTGTTTAGGTTAATTCATAACAGTACTAGTAAGATGTTCCATACAACCCACTCACCACAGATTGCAGAACACCCCCACTTTTAGTAACAGAGTCAAAAGTACTGATGCGAATTTACAGATAGATACAAATTTGGCTTTCCTTCTGGGCCAAGTATGCTAATCAGTCAGTTGTCCTGTCAGAAGTTAATTCCATAGACCAAGTGCTGGGTGCACTGCTATCACTTATCTGCTACTCAGTATGGAAGTGTAACCCAAAGGCTTAGTACCCTTACAGAATTAGACAACCTGAAAGCATGTGTTAGGTGCTTCATTTCTTACTGAATACACCCAGTCATCCTCTGGTTGATTTCAAGGTCTTTGGAGTCACTGTCATCCTATTATACTGAAGAAATACCTCTGCTATTTGGGTAACAGGTGTCAAAGTACCTTATTTCCTCAAGTTGTAGGATTTTATAGAAAAAGTAACAGGGGGAGAGAGGTGAGAGGGGTGTGTGTGTATGTGAGCACAGGCATGTTCTGGGTGGTAGTAAAGTAATTTTTGGTGAGTAATCATTTAAAACATTCTATCACTTACATAAAATGAGAACAGTGAGAAACATATTTTCAAGCTTGACTAACATGAGAATGATAGGTTTGTGGCACAATTACCTTTGGAATCTGGGTGGAAGAGCATGGCTCCTAGAACAAACCTGCAAGTCTTCACAGCTAAGACTTGGATTCTTACCAAGAAATAGCACTCCTGCCTTCCTGCTTGGATACAAGCGAGTGCTTCAGTCTTATCAGGATACCTTTTGTGGGTTTGCTTGGGAATATTACAAAATATTGCAAGAGTTGCCTGAGTTAAAACATTGTACTACTTTTCTTGGAACTATTAACAGACAACATATTGCATGCATGCACTCTACGTTTTCACTGAGTTATGAAGGCAAGGTACAGAAATAATTGCCAGGGCTTACTCTGTCTATGTACATACCCTTGCTCCACACACTGCCACCCGTCAACTGAAACTCTTGTATATCTGCACTGTGCTCTTGGTTTGCCTGTTTGATGTGCATGGTTCCCCATGCAGGTGAAGTGAGGGATGCCTGTCTTTACCAGTTTCTTAATAAAACGTCCTGCATTTTTCTGTCTTTAGGCTATTAGATCAGCTTCCCAGAGCCAATGTTGTTTTCCTAAGGTATCTGTTTGGGGTATTACACAACATTGAACAACATTCCTTATCTAATCAGATGACTGCATTTAACTTAGCAGTGTGTATCGCTCCAAGCATTCTTTGGCCTCCTACTTCCTCCAGCCCAGAACTAGAAAATGAATTTACAAAAAAGGTAATGACATTTTTCATTTTATGTCCTGAGTCCTTAGTTCCCCATTTTGAAACATTGGAAATTCACAGTGTGCTGAAACAGTTTCTTGAATAGCTAAAGTAGACTTCCTTGTGTGAGTTTATTTACCTGTCTGTCCTGGTAGACTATAGCAAGGGTATATATAGCAATTATATGTAGCTTATATATATAAAAAAAACAATTGTTACTTCACTTTTCCTTTTAAGGAGGCTGAAGAGTAGGGCTGATGAAAACCACGAGTGGTAAGGAAGCACTCCTTTAAAAGATCAGGACCTTTCAGTTAAGACAAGCCAGAGTTCAGTTCTCAGTACCATCATCTGCCAGATACACAGTCCTGGGAGAAGTTCCTTACTGTGGTTTCTATTTTAATGATACAGTAAAGATTGAGGCTCCCACCCCTATAGGGTCTGGCTGTTGATCAGGGGTTCTGGTACCAGTTCCTTTCATTCACAACATGTCTCATGCTGAGGCAAAGAATCTATAGGTCAGTTCCTGTCCTCCTCAGTGGCAGCACAGAGCCCCTCATAAATGCTCCTCTCTCCATATGCACCTCCACTGAAGGAGGGTAGTAGAGAGACATGCTGTCTCCTGTCCCTCTTCTTTTCCCACAGAGGATCCCTCTTCCAAAATTACAGCAACTTGTGCTTAACACAGAAATCCTTGTATAAGTCTTTATTACTGATACTTGATAAATTTTAATAATAAAGTATGTTCGCCCACCCCAAACACCCTATGGAGGGAGAACGCTTGAAATTGCCCTAATTTAAAAGATGGAACTAGTGATATAAAATGTTAGGTTACATCAAAATCATAGAAAACTACAGTCTGCTGGCTCAAATTCAGTTCTGTGCCCAAACTACACTCTAAAGCATTATCAGTCAGCAGTGTGGCTTTCATGTCTTTTGAATACTTTCCTCTATTCTTTTGCATTTTGTGGCTAAGATCAGGATGTTTATATGAAGTGTAACACAAGAGTTATATGAATAATAATGCTTGAATTCTTTTCATTGGTCACAGGTTTCCCTTCTTATACAATTTCTGATTGAAAACTGCTGTAGAATATTTGGAGAAGAAATCACTTCTCTCCTGGGGGAGCTTTCTGAGATCAGCGACAGTAGAGAACACACCTCAGGTACTGTGAAGAACATCTTTTATAAGAACTAGGTATTTGTCTATGAAGACATGGAGACTGGTTGTACCAGAGCCTCTGGCCTGGGTCAATGGGTTCTAGGGCTTCCATTCCTTCCTCAGAAGGCCTGCTGCTGACAGGTCAGTGTAATGGAGTTAAGATGTATACAGGATGAGGCCATGCCTATGAGTTGTATACTGAAGATTTGAATCCTAATTTTAAATAAACAGAGGAACTCTATTTGTGTTGTTGAAACTAGAATCAAAGGTCCAGAGAAGTAGGGGAAGTCCTGGTCTGGGGTGCTTCTAATCAACCCCCTCCACTATTCCTAGTGGACTCTAAGACCCCAGCATCTTTGAGGTCGAGTGTGGGAAGAGGGTCTGAACTCATACACATACAACCTCCAGAATATAAATTCCTTGCTACTAATTACTTCTATGCTTCCTTCTTTCATCTATAAAATATAAATAGTGTTTAATCTTTACAACAACCCTAAGAGTCAAAGCAACTTTAAAGACTAACTTTAAAGAGCTTTAGGAAAGGTCTCACCGAGGCTAGAGACACTAGCTCATTTACTTTCCATTATTTCTTCATTCTATGACATATCAGTTGCTTTGGGAAAATCTTACCTTAAGAAAAAGAAGCTGCCTAGAAAATTTGTGTCTTTAGCGCTAACATTTGAGATGATGGGAAGATCTGGGTGGTTAAGATGGTTTAGTGGATAAAAGTGCGTATCCACACCACCATTCCCCATAAGCCTGACCACCTGGGTTTGATTGCCTGACGCTGGGGACTAACATGATGGAATGAAAGAACCAACTCCAGCAAGTTGTCCTGTGACCTCATGCATGCCTTGGCCTCATGTGCTGCTGACTCCTTCCACATAAAGAACTTTAAATTTTTATTTAAAAAATTTTGAGACAAGAGTTTCTCTGTGTAACCCTAGCTGTCCTGGAACTCTCTCTGTAGACCAGGCTGGCCTTGAACTCATAGAGATCTGCTAGCCTGTGCCTCCCAAGTGCTAGGATTAAAGGCGTGCACCACCATCCCCCAGAATTTTTTTTAAGATTCTTTCCTTCTTTCGGGTGGTGGTAGTACACGCCTTTAATCCCAGCACTCAGGAGACAAAGGCAGGCTGATCTCTGTGAGTTCGAGGCCAGCCTGGTCTACAAGAGCTAGTTCCAGGACAGCCTCCAAAGCCGCAGAGAAACCCTGTCTCGAAAAATCAAATAAATAAATAAATGTAAATAAAAAATTGCTTCCTTCTTGAAGGTAGAAATTTGAACTCTACACATGAAAATAACACAGAACCAGCATGGTTTCTTTAAAGGCAGTCCAGGTTGGATTTGTAAGAATGGTAACCATGGTTTCCTTGCTGTCCACAGATATGTCTTGCTTCCAAATGAACGACTCTTCCTACGACAGCCTGGAAAATGAGCTCAATGAGGATGCGGATGCTCCGTGCAGTGACCTAGTGAAAAAACTTGGCCAGGGTAGCAGAAGCATGGACTCTGTCCTAACCCTCAGTGACTATGACCTCGAACAGCCTGAGGTGGAAGGTCTTTTAACCCTGAGTGATTTTGACTTAGATCGGTCTAAAGATGAACACATTCAAACGAAACAACCTCTGGAGTCCAAGCCAGTGAATGTTTTCGTAGCCTACAGGAAGGTCTCCCTGGGGGAACACACTAGAGCTCCTGTGGGCCCAGCTACCCCCAGCTGCCTGCCTGCAGCTGCACTAGATGCCCCCAAAGTCCTGCGGCGGCACCGGCGCTGCTCAGAACCCAGCATCGACTACTTAGACACAAAGCTTTCCTATCTCCGGGAATTTTACCAGAAAAAGCTACGCAAGTCCAGCTGCGATGCTGTGCTTTCTAGAAAGGATGAGGATTATCTAAAGCAGACCCAGTCCCTGAAGAAAGGCGGCAAGACATGTTTGAAGCAGAGTTCAGTCTCAGGCACTGACATCAGCAAGAAAAATGCTACTAATGAAAACATTAAGAGGAAAAGCTTGTCTGGTCATGAAGGAAACCAAGTGACACCTTTCACTAAGTCCAAGCCAGTGGCCATTTCCGTGGCATCTTACAGTCACATGTCCTCCCAGGATCATTCCAGGAAACAACCCTTAGATGCAGATACCTGCAGACTCTCCCCACCACCCACAGCAGACACCAGGAAGAGCTCACGGGTACATCGGCGCTGTTCGGAACCCAGCATAGATGATCAAAACTGCAAACTGTCCTATCTCAGGGGGATCTATTCCAAGCAACAACATAAACCCAGCTGTGAGACAGGCCTCTTGCATGGAGAAGAGGATTATCTCAGAAGGCACAAGTCTTTGCAGATGGAGGGGCAAAAACTCATTAACCAGAGCCTGGTCATGGGGATTGAGGTGGGGAAGAGCAGTGGCACACACCAAAGCACTGACAAAGCTTTGCCCCCAAGACTAAACCTTTGCCCAAGAGCTAGCTATTCTAGTTTATCCTCCCCAGGCACATCCCCATCCGGCTCCTCAGTAAGCTCCCAGGACAGCGCTTTCTCTCAGATCTCTGAGCACTCTGTGTTTACTCCCACCGAAACCTCCTCTCCAATAGATTGCACTTTCCAGACTCAGAGAAAACAGGAAGAGCTGTCTTCTGACTTTACCAGTCTTGTACCTGGGATGCCCAGCCCCTCCACGGGGCAGGCCAGCAGCCACCTGGCTTATTTAAGAAAGGGCACCATAGAGCAACCATCACAATTGCATTCTGTAACTCTGCACCCCAGCGCATGGTTGAGAAGTGGTTTGGTCACTTTGAAAAACTGGTCTCTCAAAAAGAAAACAAAAGCAGCTAGACCAGAAGACAGGAAACTCAGTTTCCTGAAAGAACCTTTGGAGTTACCTCCACATGCTTCTGGTACTCCAGAGGCTGACTGTCTGCAAGAGAGTCAGGATGATATACACCTAAGGGCGGATCAAGGACCTGGAGCTATGCAGTCAACCCATGGGTGCAGTTCTGATGCCTGGCCAGACTCAGAGCAACAGTCCTGTTCTCCATTGCACCTGCTGGAAAGCAGGCTCAAGCTTTGTGTGAAGTTGCAGGAAGGCGAAGAGAGCAGAGGGCAGCACCCTTCTGACAGCCCTTGGGAAGGAGCCTCAGCAAACCTTGGGAATGTGGAGGATGCGGCCAGCCCAGACACAGAGCCTACAATAGTTTGCGATGATGGGGACAGACACGTAACCAAAGACAGTTACCCACAATAAGAATCTGTATCAAAATCAACAATCCAGTGTCTTTAAGAACAGGAACTGGGCTAATAAAATCAAGACCCCTTTCATAGGATACCTGGGGGTAGGTAGCACAAGGACAATCATTGCTAATATGACCGTTTCTTTGTTGAGATTATGTGGCAAAATTTGCTTAAAAAGTTTAATCATCTGAAGTTCTGAAAGGCTTTTCCTATTAAAGCATGGGCTAGTCCTTTTCTGGGACATTAAGATACCGACAGAAGGATAAAAGAAATGTTCTTCATTTAAGCGTGCTTGTGTAAGCAGTCTGTGAGTTCGCTGTCCAGAAGGACCAGAGTACCTTGAATGATGCATCAGTGATACACAGAGGAATAGTAGAGAGAAGCCATCTTTATGCCATGGAATAAGCAGACAAGAAAAGGGCCACTGAGTCATGCAGAAAAGTGTGACCAGTCACTGAGGAAATCATCTAAAACCTGTCCCCGAATCTAAGGCAGTGGTTTGTCCTAGTCATGTGACTTCAGAGTTATTTTAGGGACCAACTCAGTGATAAAGGCAGAACTGTGGGTACCATGACAGCACAGCTTTGCAATTGGGTGGTTTGGTGAATTGTTTGTTTTCTGGTAGGGTTGAATTTATTCACATCCTTCAGAAGTGTCGATGTAAAGACAAAGAAGGAAATGTTTGCTCACTTTGATGTCCTTCCCACACAGTGCCTGTGCTAAAAACATGTATTTTGGAGATGCATCTTATCCCTATTTAGAATGTGCCCTGTTGACAAGATTCGCTCTAGTAGATTAAAAAAAAAGCCATATCAGAATTAGAGAAATGATTCTACAATTTTCCCTGGCTGACTCATGTCAGAGGCAATGCTTCATTTAAACTAAAGATGCCATGTTTTGTGCCGTGTTGGTAGCAACATTTATGTAATTGAGAAAGCTTCTTATTGTGCTGATATCAGTAAGAAAATGCATGTAGAGATGTATCTAATCAGAAAGTTGGATCCTTCAATACTTAAGATGTCACAGAAAGGGCCGCTGACTTAGACTTAATGACAGATTATCATGTGAAACTTTACACCTCATTTTGATTAATGATGGTTCCCTGCATCAACACTGCCTTCCTGGTTCCACAAGTATCATTTATCAATACGGCATCTCTGTGGAGATGTTCCTCTACAGCACTGCTTGTTAGAGTACAGTCAGCCAAGAAGGACAAAAGAACAATTGTTAATTATCCCCTCATTCTATAGATTGCTATTGATTAGAAATTGGCAGGATGTAAGGTTATGTTGCTGTTGGGATGTCTCTGATGCTCACTGTCTTTGGATTTTCTTGTTGAAATTTTCCATCTTTTCCAAATGGTTTGTGGTTTATAAATATTAAAAGTTTAGGCCCCAGAAGTTTATCATGGACATCTCTCTCTTTACATTCAAGGCTACACCAGAATATCTCCTTTCCTAGGAGTAAGTCTCCTTCCCTAAGAGTAAGATCTTGTCCACCAGGATGAAATGAAGGGACACATCCTAAATTAGATGCGTATCCTCCTTCAAGCTACTCACCTATTAGAAGCTGCCTAGAGTCTATGTAATCTCATGAATCTACTGTAAAAAGGACATTTCACTGAAAACCTAACTTATCCCAAATTATGTTTCCTACCAGTCACCAGGAAACTCATGACAGATACTGCTCCCTTCTCCCAAACATTACATTGTCAGTTGTAGAATAAGAACCTATCTATGTATTAACTATAGAAGTGCCACCTACCTCTCAGGGGCATGGCCCTGTTTTCCCTAATCATAATTAACTTTTAGAACTCTGTGTCCAAAGAGCTCCTTCATGACACTGGCAGTCTCAATCAGCTGTGAACTAGAGCCCACCTTGTAACCATCCACTTCCATATGAAGACTCCTAAGTATCCATGTGTATCTTTTGTAGTATTACTATATAAAGTTAGCAGGACGACCCTTCTCTTTAGGGCATACTACTGTCAGAACTGCAAGATGTGAATGAAGATCTTATGGCTTAGAATGTGTCTCTGAAAGAAATGCCTCCTGAAAAAACTAAAGAGTTCTGGCTTCTTTTTTTCTTTTCATAATGGCCAGTAGAAAATTGTCCACCCAGTTCAAAGCATAGAAGAAAATAGTTAGCAAGGTTCTCCACCAACCATTCCGACTCTTGTTTCCTTAGATGCTCCCACGATACTTAATGTGAATAGTCTGTTAATATTGCTGTAAAGTATTATATGATTTGAAGACAGACATGTCATTTTATTAGACTCCATCAATCTATAATATATTAGACTGATTCTTTATCTCAAATGCTATGAGTTTGTATAATATATCTTGACAAATTTTATTACTGTGTTATGTAACAAATGTGTATTTTTGTACCTTGCAGAAACTGCTGCTAACTTTTAAATTGTTTGGTTTTCAAGGCACTGATAATGGGCATGTACAAAGTCCATGCTGTCTGTTAAATAAAATGTCATCCTGCAGTTAACAGTCTCACAGAGAAATACTGACTGCGGAGAGTTCTTTGGCTCAGCAAGCCTGAGCTCCCTTTGAGTTGAACATTTCATACGTAATGAGTTGTGGCCTTAAGTTTTTACTCATAGTTTTTCTAGGGGAAAAATAGTGAAACTGCTTTTCCTTTTTATATTTTAAAATCTTGTTTACCAAAAAAGGTATGTTTTATATACATAACAGTCCTCCATTTTGCCAGACATTGTTTTTTTTTTCATTGTATTTCTGGAGTGATACAGACTAATATTTGTCCATATGCCAAAAGAAATATCAGCTCAATTTTATTGTGTATATGAGATTTTCTTTCATTTTTAGACTATTCTGATAAGAGACCCAATTGACTTTATACACACACCAGGATATTTGTGCTTTGGAGGTAACTTAGAAAGTATTATGTTTCTCATGACTACTATATCTCTTACTTCTTGAGGTTTGTCTAGTAGTCTCTGTATAAATTTAACCACTGTTCCAAAGGGATTCAGAACCTAGAAAAACAGATTTGCTTCAGGAATGTAGGAATGACAGAAAACACTTTCACAAATGTTATTAATTGTATTTCTGCAATGCATGCACACACACACACAAAATTCTATCTAAATTTTAGAAAAACAAATTTACTTTTGATGAAACTCAATCTACTATCAGTAACTTTTCTTTTAGTCTACTTTGCATAACACTCAATCAGAAGGTTCTAATTTGTCAACCCAACAGCAAGTTCTTTCTGGTTTTTTTTTAAATACTCCAGTAATTTTTATACTGTGAATGATAAATTTGGGTAAAGCATCTGCTTCAGTTTCTTTCCTTTTTGTTATGAGGTCTTCTCATAAGCAAAGTTTCCTGTGAAAGGAAGAAGTCTCTCAAGGCCTGTGCAACTCACTCTGAGTCCTTCTCTAGTTATGAGCTACCTTCATGTTGCACTATTTCTTTTTTCCTTTATAAATGCAGTAAAACCCTTGAGAATCATCTTCGTACAATGTGAATTTTTCTGGTACAATTGGCAAAAAGCTCTAGTCTGAGGTATAATTTGCAAACTTTGGTTTGAAATCTCCTTTACACACACAGCCTATTGATACTATTAGATTAATGTTCTTGTGTTCCTATTGGACAACACAGGGCACATATAAATTTTTAGATGACTTAAGAGTTTTTTAGTATTTTTATTTATCAAAGTAAAAATAGTGTTTAGATTTTTTTTACCTCACAGCAATATAAGATGCAGGTTTGTGGACATTAAGATTTTAAATACTACTTGTTTTCATCTGTGTTTTAGATTACATTAACTAAAATTTAGAAACTATCTTTGCAGCGTCTTGTGTAAAAACTGAATAAATTGGCTAAAACCTTCTGAGATAGTCTGTTCCTCAGAGAAAATAAAATAAAATGGGTACTATAAAAAACAATTCCTTCTCCACGAGATCCAGGAACAAAGATTAGTGCTGCCTACAAGTGTAAAGGAAATATTTTATAGTTTGCCCCCCAAATGGAATAACTGTTGAGCACAGAATATCAAAATGTGCGAATGCTACAAAGTTTTCTAGATGGCACATCAAACACATTAGGCAAGCCCTTGATAAGTTAACTCAAGAAGCAGAATCACAAAGATCTCAAAGAGCAACACTTCAGGGAAGAGAATCAATTAGAAAACATCTCCATAAAGAAGAGGAGTCGGGATTAAAAAAGAAAAATATCTGTCTCTATTAGAGAAAACTTAACAAAAAAGAAATCATCCTTAATGGGATTTTCTCCATACAAAACATACTGCTTATACCAGGACAGGGTCAGCAGTAGCTACCAAGGGAGTGTTCTACCTGCCCCCAGACACAGTAAAGGTTATAACTGCAACCTGGAAAGAGCCACCGAAGCTGTGGAGGTGCAACTAGGGCTGAGTAAGTGCAGTATGTGCAGAAAGCCAGAACAGAAGGAGCTGCAGAGATGGGGACAGAATTGTGGCAAAGAAGTCTGACTAGACTCTACACAGGCACCATGAAGTTACCTGAGTGGCACTACACTCACTACTGCCTGGGTAGACTACACAAGAACATAAGTGTTCTGAGATGGGAGCAGTCTCCTAGTAGGTATACCTTGGAATAGGATGAAACATTTTATTCAATGAGATTATAGCAGAAAATTCCACAAACCTGCAAAGAAAATGGACATTCAAATGCAAGAGGCATATTAAATCCCATGTAGACATAACCAGAGATCCACTCCCAAGAAAGCCATAATCAACATGGTAAAACTTCCAAGCAAAAATGCTTAGTTCCATAAGGGGAAAACTCTTATGTTTACCATAATATCTGCTGTTGTCAATAATAAAATTAAGTATCAGATGATGTATTTCAAGCCCTAGATTTGTCTGCCAGCCCTTGGTACACCCAGAGAATGTATCTAAAATTACTAAACAAATTAGAACATGCCAAGACAAGTGCAAAAGAAGGCAACTCTATTTAAGCCAGCAGGAAGGAAATGCTTAGAGGCAAACTACAAAGAAGATAGTTTTATCCACCAGAGCACAGAAAAGAGTAATAATAGTTCATGAAAGGAATCGACGAGCAAAGGAGAACTGGGAAGTCATACACCCAGTTCAACAGAGTAGACCAGCAAATAACTAGTCCACATCCCTCAAAAAATGCAGCCTCTCTGTAATGACGTTAAATGCAAGTAGTCTCAGTTCAGCATGTAAAAGGTACAGATAGATTCAGAAACTGTGTTGTCTATGAAGTCTTTAATGCAAGTAGTCTCAGTTCAGCATGTAAAAGGTACAGATAGATTCAGAAACTGTGTTGTCTATGAAGTCTTTAAAGACTTTATTGGGGGCAGGGAAACAAGGTGAGAGTCAAAAGATGGAAATCAAGCAAATGGGAGACAAAAACAAGTTTGCACAGCCATTCTCAAAACTGGTAAAGCAGACTTCAAATGGAAACAAATCAGAAGAAAAATCAGCATCCCTTACAGATAAGAATTCAGAAGACTGAGTCACAGTACTCAGTGATGTACATGTGGACCATGTGGATCCAAAATTAGATTTTAAAAAACTGAAGATATATATAGAAAAGATCTCTGATTTAATTTTAAAATGTAAATTAAGTCTTCATCAACTAACTGGAAGGGACCCAACAGAAATTATTGTACCTTTAACTAATGAAGAAATTTCCTCCTTATGGAAGGATAATGAATATTGGCAAAGGGCTTGCAGTAGCTTTTTGGGAACAATTAGTAATAATTACCCCCAAACAGATAGAATCAAATTCATAAAGAAAACAATTTGGATCCTTCCATGTATTGTAAGAAAAACGCCAGTCTCTGGAGTCCGTACATTCTACACTGATGCAAACAAGTCCTGGAAAGCAGGTTATAAATCAGGAAATGTAAGTAGTTCAAAGCCCTTACAACTCTGTACAAAAGGCAGAGTTTATGCCATTCTCATGGTACTTACAGATTTTACAGAGCCTCTCAATATAGTTACTGGCTCTAAATATACAGAGAGAGTTGTCTTACACATTGAGACCACTGAATTTATTCCTGATGATACAGAATTAACCTCATTGTTTATACAATTACAGGAAACCATCAGAAGTAGAACTCATCCTATATATATTACACACATCAGATCCCATACAGGTCTGCCAGGTCTCTAGCACAAGGTAATGATGAGATTGATCATTTATTAATAGGAAGTGTACTAGAAGCTTCAAAACTGCATAAAAACACCATGATAATAGCAAAGGCTTAAAGAAGGATTTTTCTATCACTTGGCAACAAGTCAAGGAAATAAGAAACTGCCCCATCTGTTCATTCTATATTCAAATACCATTACCAGCAGGAAGTGATCCCAAAGATATTCACAGAAATGAAATTTTACAAATGGATGTGTTTCACTTTTCAGAATTTGGAAGTTTAAATTACATGTACCATACCATAGACACATTTTCATGGTTCCAATGGGCTACTGTTCTTAGCTCTGATAAGGCTGATTCTGTTATCACACACCTCTTAGAGGTGATGGCTGTTATGGGTATACATGCACAAATAAAAACTGACAATGCTCCAGCATATGTCTCCAGCAAATTGGAACAGTTTTTTCAAATATTATAACATAAAACACATAACTGTTATATCATAGAATCCCACAGGAAAAGCAGTGGTTGAGAGATCTAATTGCACTTTAAAAGAAATACTCCAAAAACCAGCCAGGGGGAACAAAGACCCCCCCAATACAGATTATGTAATGATTTATTAACATTAAACTTTCTTAATGCTAATGAGAAAGGACAAACAGCTGCAGAAAGACACTGGAATACAGAAAAAAATTCTGAACTAAATCAGCTGGTGTATTTCTAGGATGTAAGACCTCAGTTTGGAAAGCAGGATATGTGTTACATTGGGGAAGGGGTTTTACTTTTGTTTCCATGGGAGAAGAAACAATGGGACCAGGTAAACCAGGCCCTGTATCCAGGCCTGCCTTCCAGTGTTTGGGGATGGCCTGGGGACTGCCACTGAGCCTCCCCTCCCGGTGGGAGCCTACATAGCCCAGTTTCCTGGTCTTATCTAACCACTGTACCAGTGTCTGGCGACCTCCACTGAGCTTCCCCTCATAGCGGGAACCTTTTCCACCAATGGGACTAGGACCAGTGCCTGGAGACTGCCACTGAGCCAGCCCTCCAGGTGGGAGCCTACCCAGCACAGTTTCCTGGTCTTCTTTTCCACCAATGGGACCAGTGCCTGGGACTGCCAGTGAGCCTTCCCTCCCAGCAGGAACCTACATACCCCAGTTTCCTGGTCTTCTTCTCCACCTATGGGACCAGACAATTCGGGGTCTGTTTCTGGGCCCTTGTCCAAGTGCCTGGAGACTGCCACTGAGTCTCCTCTGCCGGTGGGAGCCTATGCAACCCAGAATCCCAGTCTTCTCCATCCTCAGGACCAGGACTAGGACCAGGAAGAGGAGAACTACCAAAGTATTGGACTTGCTTGC